GTATGTTGCTAAGTAATGAAATCAATAAAAACTTCAAGTTAGAATTGGTCAAAATTTGCTAGGTCAGCTTCATTCAGCGTATACTTCGTTCGCTACGATCATCAACTGAAACGACAGCATTTTGTTCCATTATTCCGGGCAGCTCTTGTAAATGAATAATTCAATCTAAGAGCCCGCGAGACAAAAGATGAAAGAGAGAAGAGACAAAGTTATAAAGAACTTTATAAATAATTATGCCTAGCGTGTAGCAATAGGAAAGTTGGAGGTTGTTTTAAGCGGAACTTTGTTTGTAACACTGCAGCACCACTTAATCATGTTTCATAGTCTTCATTTCAAATGCTCTATCCGTTTTGAAGTTTGCTCATCTAACTTCTTCATGATTCTTGTAAAACTGCACAAAAATCTTGAGATCGTAAAATTGTCAACTTACCTAGTCGATTAATCACTGCTCAACTTTTTAAAGTAGGTTTGCAAAGGCGGATCGATAGGTCCAGTTGGGACCACCTCCCCCTTCTTAATGGAACCCACCCTGCATATGCAGACGACAATACCGCACTCTTAATACCGTAACAGAATGTACCTGCGCGACAGCATGATTTTGCTTCACGATTTCTGTTGGGATGCAAAGGAAGCTCATACCAAGCTAGTCGGAACATACGGGGACAGACATCATCTCATACCGCACATGCAAGACGTAGTGCGCCAAGTTAAAGGTAGGATATTTTTCTCTCGAAGATAATACGGGGTCGACCCAGCTAATGGAGTTGGACTTGGAAGTACGACGTTCCACTGTTGTGGAGCACCCGTACCTAAGCACCAGAGAAATGGCGACCATGCTCGGCTATAATCATTCGACGTGGGTTGGGACAGCTCGGCCAGGGGGTAACGGAACTTCTCCCCTTTCGTGGCATTCTCCCTTGCGGCATGTGGCAAATGTCTGCAATTACCGTACTCACCCCGGCCTCCCGCCAATTGATAGGACGCGATATTTTTCGTTGATTGGCTTGCTCTTTCATTGGATTTGATCGTTTTTGTTCTGTTTCTTTTTAGTTTTCATGTTTATTAGACTTGATTAATTAAAATGACTCCTATATAAACGACGATTAAGACCGCATTGGAATTGAAAAGAGCGGGTAGCCAATTCAAATAATTAAAAGGACTTCCTACCTCACAAATTGCCACACACATGCCACATGAACTGACCGCTTATGACCTGACTTCTATCCTAACGTTCCAAGAGAATCTCGACTTTCTCAACTCGATGATCACTGGAAATGAGATGTGGGCCCTGTGCGATAACCCTAAAAGGATTCCGTAGTGGGTCGACAAAGCAGAACAGCTAGAAGCTACCTCAAAGGCCGATCTTTACCCCAAGAAGGTTCTCCTCTCCTGTTGGTGATCCAGAAGAGGCATGGAACACTGGGAGCTGCTGGAGAAGGGATAGACGATTAACGCTTCCACATGCATACGTTACCCGGCTACGGAAATTGAAAGATCATGTCGACCGTACTCGTGGATCGAACGCGGAAATCTATTTCCACCATGACAACGCCCAATCTCAGACCGCAAAGGCGACCGTGGCCGAGCTGGAGAAATGCGGACGGCTGATTGACGTCCAGCTCCCCCCCCCCCTCCCCTACAGCCCTGACCTCGCTCCTCGCTCCTTCCGACTACTGACTGTTCAGCAATGCAGCACTTTCTTTACATAAAAAAGTTCCAAGTAGAGTATGATGTCAGAAAGACACTCGACGTCTTCTTCATGTGCCAATTCCCGTACTTCTGGAATTGAGGAATCGCAGGCTGCCTGAGTGTTGCGTCTAGTAGTTTGCATGATGGTGGTGCATATCTCTAATCTACAGGTTGATTCGCTGCCGAGATATTTACAAAAAAAGGGAGAAAAAAACTTATGCATCAACCTGATAAATGGTGAATTATCTTTTGCATGTTTTCTGCCCAACGAATCCTACTAAACTTTCATTCGAATTAGGAGGGCGTACATATAAAATTTTGTCAATGAGACCGAAGTGATTGGTGAATTACTGGTATTGTGGCAAAAGATGCGTGTATTTCTATTGGGTAAAATTTGATGGAGGAATGCCAAGCAAAACAAAGATATATAATGGTTAAAGGTGATTCTACTCGTTAACGTTTCAAATCCTATGACGAATTTATTTGAGCTCTCACTGACTAAAAAGAAATTAGTAACCAAAAGTGACCGCCATTGTCAGCCACAACACTTTTAGAGCCATCAGAAGCAGCGAAACTGCTTTCCCTTTTTCCATGTTTTCCTTAGGAGGTGCAGTCCACGATAACAGCGATATCCAAGATTTCTCCTAGGAATGAACCTGTATTCTCCAAGGAAAGCGCAAAGGACGTTGTCGGATCGAAAAAGAAGCTTGTGTAGGGCAGAATAAGGGCCCGACAACCGGCTTAGCCGACTTACACACCCGAGATGGACGAGTTATCACGGCACTGTAAAGGCTGTAGAGGATACAACTTTCACACCGAAACGCACAAATTGTACGCAGGCAGCTTACTGTTGCCAACTGTACGCAATGAAGGGATAATTGGAAAACTTGTCCAAATACCCTTACACGCAACATTTGACATCACATTCCCGTCCAACCCCTAGATTTGCTCCTTTCTGAAATCTTTTATTTCTCCGATCCAACTATTTTCGCGCTTCCTTCGCTAGTTTTACTCTATTCTGAACTATCACTTCCGACTGGGTACTCCGAGATCATGGTGAACTGTGTTGTCAATTGAGGGAATTCCCGAATCTGAGTGCCGTAGTGGGTTCCGTGGCCCTCTGCCCTTGAGGGGGGGGGGCTCGTGGTACAGCATTCCCATCGAATCCCAGTTGCGGATCTCGTTTAGGAATTCAGATAGCGCCTCTCCTGCTGTCGTATAGGATGGGGTTCTCATCTCCCGTCCTTGAATCTTCCAAAAGTTCCTTCCGATCAGGGGCACGGAGAAGAGGCTGACTGCTTAAGACACGCGTGTAACAGAGATCGCCAGTAAGTTTGTGTGAATACCATCGAGCAAGATTCCTTGTAATCATGCTCGTAAAAGCGCCGAACGACATTGCTCTGATCGCAATGGAGATGCTCTGCATTTTCCTGCTCCTGTCCTCCAACTCCTTGTTCATTCCGCTTCAAGTCGGTGGTCTTCTTAAGCAACTGCTCGTCTGGAGCGAGGATCGTCGTCGTGCGAGCTCCAGACTGAGAGCGAGCTAATAAGCGGCTGATGGTCGCGTGACTTACGAGTTCTCCGGATACAGTGGTGATACTGGAACGAGCAGAATGAGCAATGGAGCCGCAGCGCCACAACGGCGTCGCAGAAGCTGCGTTCAAAAGGGAACACCTTTGTTGAAAACTCTAACAACTAATAGTGACCCACTCAGCTGACGCCAGTTTGGACGTTTTGGCTAAATATAGTTAGATCTTTACGCAACTACAAAAACTGGAATCTGTTCGAATACCTCTTACAAGTAACCCTCTTCATGGAATTCCCGTACAACTTCGATTTCCTTTACTTTCAAAAAGTCTTTTTCGTCGCGAATTCAGCGAGTTCCCTCACTTTTTTCGTCATCGTTGCACTATCCTCCACCGTACTTTCGCCTTCCACTTGAAAAAGAGTGCATCAAAATTGAAATGAATTGGGCCTATAAATAGCGGAACTTCTGAGATTGTATAAAATATGCTGACGGCAAAGGTTTTTGTAGAGCAACGACGATACACTAGAATTTTTGTCTCCAGATCTCCACATCAACCTGATGCTTTTCTGCCTGAATTCAACTCCATCGTCATTGACGGTTTCGAGGGATTAATAAGATCGACTGCTTCCAAAGTTGTATTTAGTTCCAATCTTCGGATGGAACTGGTGAAAGTTCAAATGGTCGCTCAAAGTCTGGTACTATGGCTGGTCGTCGGACTCCTCCTAAGCACACATTGATGGACTTCATTCCTCCACCTCCATCCAATCCTCCTCCGCCCGCCGATGTAGGTTACGATGTGAGTTTTTAGAAGCTGTCTGCGGTACAATTCGAATTTACTATTTGTGAATGCATTTCGACCTTCGTAGGGTTCTTCACGACGTCATTTGCCACGTATGGTGAACATGGAAGATTCCTGTGATTCCATTTCGGATGGAATGACCTTTGGAGATGACGTTAAAGTTAGGCTAACAAGTAGGAACAGGACGACGGGTTGGTTTGGTTAGAAGTATATGTTTCTTATATGTCGCACATTTGTATTATTACTATTCTTCGAAGTATAGGAATTCGTCCGCAAAAGGGCAATCGAGATGATGATAGCCAACGCTCATCGTTGATAATGGATGAAGATGTGTCGTCGTCGGAAGCCGATGGTGAGACATCGGATTGTGAGGTTCCTAAACGGAAAACGGTACCGCGAATGGGTGTGTCTGCGAGTGCACTTTCATAAAGCAGTCGTGAGTGTTTCTTCGATTTTCGGAGGGGATTGCATCTTGCTGAGTCTTTTGTGTGCTTCTAATGAAAGTCTATGAGCTCTCATCCCCTCAAACTTTAAAGCAAGAACAGTGCGACCAAGAATCCAAATGTAGATTGGAATGAACAAGTATCATTTTTAACCATTGTTTTAGGTCTCAGTGTTGTTGGTGAAGTGTAGTGAAGCACTTGCGCATGGTTTCTAATGAAGAGAAGTAATAAAGACTAGTCGGATCACACCCTCTTGATTTTCTTCCTTTTCGGCTCGAAAAAAGCAGTAGTCCAATATCGAGTTGTACTTATTGACACTCAGCAAAAACGGGAGACTGCTATCGATCGGCAGTCTCCCCTTTTGCTATGCTCCAACTCACGGCTCTTCAACTTCTTCATAGTTCGAACACTGGGCGTCTGAAAGGAACGAAGCTGTCTGGTGGTCAGTTGCACAACAGGTTGACATAAACCAATGTATCGGCCAGCCTCCCCACAGCAGAAATTCAAGTCCGAGTGGAGCAAAGCTGGGAAGATGCATAATACGTGAAGCTTTTTAAAGACTGTCAATTTTGAATATCATCCTTTTGAATAGTCATTTGGATTTCGGCGTCGCCACGTTTACGGCCTACTTACCTGCATGTCTTTATGAACGCCCTATGCCCAAGAGAGCGAATTTTTTCAAATGCTCCCCCCCCCCCTCCTCTCCCTTCCTCTTGGGAGGAGCACACACAGCTCGATAGTACCTACCAAATAATTTTTGGGCGATGTGATCTCATACCGATAAGATTCAGGGGAAGGGGATTAAATACAGAAAGATAGTGAAATAGCAATAGTTTTCAGACAGGAATAAGGAAAGGACTGAGTTCACTAGCGGAGGAACGAAGGAAGCAACCGTATCGGCATTGAGAAAAGGAAATATGTACGACTGACGAAGGAGATAATAAAGGGAGATCTTCCGAGCTTGAAATAATGTGATAGACACTTTTTCCAGCACTTACTCACGCTGTTGATGGTAGTTATAGGAACAATCATTAGTAATTCCAGTATTCCTCGAAGTTTTCTGGTCATCGGGCTATGAAGGAATGTATAGTACTGCACTGGTGTCAACCGACATATTTTCAGATGACTCTGGTCGATCAGCGTCACGATTCAAATCAATGCAACGAGACAAGCAGGATCATCTGTGATCACACATACAACTGCAACATTTTCATGTTCTTGCTTCCGCCATTACCCTACTAGCAACGGGTCACCTGTGAAACACTCCATGATAAACGTTTTTCTACAAAGAGAGGAGAGGGAAATCTCACCCCTCTGTATATAACGATACCCTCCCCGTCTACATATCCCATAATGTCATGCAAATATCTGCGACTTTCAGATAAACTAAGGTTCTACTGCTCAAGCTCTTTCAATGCTCTCTTTTTATTTTCTCAATTACTGTCACCAGAAGGGCTTTGATCTGCAGGCTTGGGGCTCATCAGTCGTCATTATTATTATCGTTATCGTTATCACAATCATTGTTATCGTTCAAATTGTATCCTAAAGCTGGCATCCTTCTCTTTTATATTAGCTTCCAGCTCTTCATTCGCATTGATATCTCTCGGTAAAAGTAAATGTATTGGGCATGAATTAGATTCAAACAGGTGATGAGCTTTACATTCGTCATTTCTAACTTTGTTTACATTCTTGACTAGCCAAGTGAAGTTGTACGGTCGCAACATGTCATATTTTCCCTTGTTCGATGATTAATACATGAAATCTGCCAATTAGAACATGTACCTAGTTTCGTTCGAAGAGGTCGACGGACAGTATGGAACATGGAGAAGAAACCGAACGCAGGTTCTTCCACAAACGTTCAGAAAATTGATTTCTAGCACTATGCTGCGCTGAGTAATAACTGATAGGATTGACTTGTAAAAACATGTGTTTGTCTTGAAGCAGTGTACGTGCAGATCGGTACTGCATCTGCAAGGGGTTTGATCCGTTCGAATAGGTCGGGCAACTGCGTACACTGATTACTAGTCGATAGACTACCGAAAGGACATTTTCGGATCTCTGTAATCACCCGAATTGACCTAGCCGGCATTATTACTTTCTGTGGGGTACGTCAAAGGGAGACTGTTACGAAGGCAATCCATGCTTCTTATACCACTCTGAAAAAGGAAGCAACGCAGCTCGAACCATGCGTCGTATTCTTAACTCATAAAGTTCGAACTACACGTAAGCATTTAATATATTAGGTTGCGTAATAAGTAATGTCCGGACTTTATGAAATGCAATATTCACCACAACTCCTCACAACCATCTAACATCTATCGAAGCCAATATTAGTTGTTTGACACGAGATCGGGAGTATATATTAGGTAGGGAACTACAAAGCCAACTTCTTGAATTGTACTCTTGGTTCCCTTTGCGACATATGGGCGTGGGTTCTAGTGACTGCAGTTTTGCGAGTCCTGTAGCAACTGTAGGTAGCTACAAACAATAGGTGTGAGCGTCAATGAGATACTGTCGTCTAAAGGACCTTAGTGATGCAAGCCTCATAGACTCCACCAAACGCTGAGCATGGTTTTCCTCGAGGGGAGCACACCTCTTTAAATTAGCAGTGACTGTTGATCTGCACTCCCCCACTGACGCCTCCGTGCGTAGTTCACACAAACCACCCAGTAACTACTCGAAAGCCAGTCGGAACGGATGCTCCTGAACAGCAAAATTTGTGACCTGGCGTAAATCCGTCGATAAGCAGATGTAGAGCTGCTTCGATCCTGTCCAGTTCCCACCAGATGACGACGATGTTGAATAGAGATGCTTGCAATCTCATGGTCAATAAATTGCAGCATCTTGACAAGAGGTGGAAGCTGTTGGTGGCTGTCCAGTTCAGGCAGAGCAGTATGTAGTTCAGCTGTTGTGGTCTCAATCGATGATACTGAATGACTCGTTATACATATGCGTTTCTTTATCAATAGCTGTATGTTATGTACACGTTCATGCAACAACGAGGTAGATGAATTAGATAACGCGGTGCTAGGTGGGTTGAGGGGGGAGGGCACGCGGCGCGGCACTCGTCTGGCGCTCTCTCCAACGAGGTAGTACTGGACCTGAGTCTGGAGAGGAATAGTGAGGTTATACTAATGTGTTTCGTGATTTAGAACAAACTATCCCTTGGCACATGTCGATATGCTTGTACATTATGGATGCTTTTCTTCTGAGCCGATAAAACCTATTTTTAAGAAGGGAAGGGGCTCCGGGGTGGGTGAGATGGTTATCTCGTGCAAAAAAGCTGAGGTGAGATAAAAGTTGGACGTCCAATTGGTTCACCCACCCCTCCCTCCCTGAAAATAGGTGAAAAATGNACAGTTATAACATAAAAAAGCTATGAAACATCCGTGAACACCATTACGGGCTTATCAAGTTATAGGTGAGCCAGGCCTATACCTGAATGTGTAGCGGACTTAGGAATACTTCTGTAGAGAAGAGTATGTATATGCAAATCTCCGGAACCACCTTTTCCTGACCTGTGCCTTTAAGTGAGCACGATTCACTGGACTACTCCGGCTCGCCACAGGGACGAATGAGGACGTTACTGGCGCCCGCTCGAGGAAATCGACGATCAACGGGACGACAGGTGACACAAGTTATGATTTCGGGAATGACACTGTTGCAAAGGTTCTCATTGCTCGCAGCAGGACGCACGTCCATTAGCTTTTGAACTATTTTTACTCTGTTCATGTGTTCCCATACTTTTCCTTCAGAGCTCTAATCACACATATAATCTTTTGATACCAATCGAATGCTGAATTAGACTTTTCCGCGAGGATTATCTTCTGAAAGCAACATTTTCGACACTGTGCATAATACTGTGCTTACATGCGTACGAATTTCACAAACTGCCGAAAGTTCTATGATCATCTCCATAGATGTCAGCCTTTGTAGTTAGCTTGGTTTCGGCGTGCAAAATAGTACATATTCCCTGTCACCAGTTGCTTTTTTAACCCCCTTTCCATTTCGCCTTTATGGGGAGGGGGTGTAGGGAGAGCGGTCATCAATGCCCAGCTTCAAAGCTAACTTGTGCGGCTTATTTATGTTTTCTATTTGTCTTGCTTCTAGCACGTGAATCATTCAATTGACACGTTTATATTCTCCGTGAATTGATTAACTAATTCTCTCTTACAATTAATTAGATAGATTCATTTACTTCGATAACATAAATTACTATTTTTTGATATTTTTTGTTTTTGCCCCGTCATATTTGATTGATTGCAAAGCGTCTCTCTTTGATTTCATGTCTAAAAGTCACCACCAACTAAACCAGCAATCAACTGCGTTCAAATATTCGTCATAGTCAAACAATCAGGGGCTTGTACAAATGGAATTTGATCTTGTCTGTCCTTGTTTACAGCCCTTCGAGGGGCTGACTGACCGTATGCCGCCCTCCTCCCCCTTAGCACTGCCTCGCGGCACGCTGGCCGGCCGGTCAGCGGACTATGAAAGCAGCCATTAACGGTACTTCCGCTTTCCCACAAAACGAAGCCCGTATCAGCGTAAAGAATTGGAAAATCGCTCGTAGCGAGACAAAGGGGTAATGCTAGTTTGTACGCAGGCCAAAGAGGTGGAGCGTTTTGCCAATCCACCTTTGTAAAGAATACTTAGAAAGTCGCGGATCTCTGAGGTCCAATGAGGAAAGGATTCATCTTTGTAATCAACCCCTTCACAATCTTGAATGTGTTCTCGTGCGACATAAGTTTTTCCGACTTTCAAAGGGGACACTATTACCGCTGAGCCTGAGAAATGAGGTGTAGTCTCACTAAAAGAACCCTACTCTCACCAAGATTTGTCTTCATTCGAATTTTTCAACATATCCTTTGCAAACAGTTCTCGCTCTGGGCGATCATCTGGTTGCAGTACATAGACAATTTCACCTCGTAAGCATACATTGGAGACGTCTCCAAATTACTACAGCCACTATATTCTTTAGCACATAAAGTTCGAAGTTTGCCATACCGACTTATGGCAAACTCGAAAATAAAATTTCATCTGCTTGTATACCTTCGAAACAGATGGTCTGCCCATGCTCGACTATGTTGTTAATTTCTGTGCGAGCCTGTTGCTAAAATTCTCTACTCATGTTCCAGCCAACTTGGCATCAGAGGCATTCTCTCTATGATGAGTCTTGAACTTTCGCTGCATGGTTATCGGTAGTTTCTTTTTTGCGCGAAACAGAAGGATGAACTTTTCATCAGGAGACAGCCTCTACAGTGTCTTTTATGAAAAAAGGATCAAATGAGGCATAGCCGTACAAAAACGTTATGATTTTCTTGTAAGCCTCTGTTAAACAGCGGGCGTTGTCATCATAAAAATAATCTATGTTCAATATTCAAATTAGGATAAATATTGTAGACACTATGTACGTGCCCTAGGACGCAGTTGGATAGGTAGATCCAGGAGCTGGGACCCGTTTCGTCGTGCTGGGAAGTAGCAGGACGAATATGAATGTAGAGTGTATTTGCCGTCACAACAGGAGCCCAGAATCTGTTCGTGAGCACCCTTATGTAGGCGACATTCTTCCAAAGATCCCAAGGAAATATACATGCTTGCTGCAGCCAATCCAAGATTTCAAATTTTATAAGGCTAAGGCTGTGCTCGACTTTTTTTTTCATGACCGGATCCAAATCGCAATTCGAATTGCCCGAAACTTGACATCGAAACTTTCCACTAAGTTAAGGAGCGGCAAATTGTGCGAAAATCTTCATATTTACGTTAACCGTGGAGATTCGTGAGTCCGCAACAAAGTGTTCCAAAAATTTGAACCTGAACTACGAGCTGTGGGAAGTTACTGAAGCTACCTGTGGAGAGTGTCATGTGTCTTATAGAAACTGTCGTAAGGCCTCTTCAAGGTCTTCGATAGTAATTGCACACGTCATCCTGCGGTACAACTTGGGCCTCATCTTCAAGTAAATTTTGCAAGTATAAGAATTTCATAGACTGGTGATGTATGCGGATCGTTGTGCTCCGCTAACTCTAAGGCGCGCCAAAACATTTTGAATTGAGTGATATTCCCGGTGAAAGATTATAATGCGAGTTTCCTAAGCTGTACGGCTGGTTGGAGTGTGAACTGACCATACGAGGGTACAACACTGGGTGCAGGCTCTCCTGAGTGGTAGG